TTTTGGCAAAAATATGTATGACGTCATCCATCACAAGCCCCTTATGTTAGATTTAAAATTTAACACTTGACAGCTGGTATCTGACATGTGACAGCTGTCAAAAATGACAGGTCACGGATAACGTGACAGGTGTTGGTACCCCGTCAGTTATTACCCCGTACAAGATGGTCAGGTACCTCGTGACTTGTTACCCTGTACAAGATGACAGGTACCTCGTGACTTGCTACCCCATACAAGATGACAGCTATGAAAAATGACAGGAGACGGTTGACAGGTAACATACGATAAAATACGAACCGCGCCCTAAAATATGGGTAGCACACGTGGCCATTGGGTTATTTCAGAGATTTTCTACTGATGACGTATTATGGCATCGATAATTTGGGTTAGTTTGGATTAGTTCAGAGATTTTCTACTAATGACGTATTGGCATCGCGACACCAGGGTTGACGCATACGCAAACGTCACGGAGACATCGGAGGATGCAGAACGAACCATGTATATCTATTTTTGGAATTTTTTAGATTGTTCTTCTTAACTTATTTAGAATTTCAATTAGAACTAGGTACCAAAAAGCACTAAGGAATATTTGGAAGATTCTTGATAACTTCTAGAACATTCTGGTGCTTCCACAGCATTAAACAACCAATCGAAAACTTTAGAGAGCATTTTGAAAAGTTTCAGATTGTGCTTGTGACAATTTGGAACATTTTCAAACATTTTGAAACGCTCTATAGTACTTTAGAATAAATTTAGAACTTTGATAAGCTTCAGAAGACTTTATTCGAATCAATATTCGATCCTCCTGCATTTGTTTGAGACAAAGTGGAACTTGCAGGAACATTGTAAAACGCTACAGAACACTCCAGAACTAATTTAGAATTTCAGAAACATTCTAGAACAGACCAGAACACTTCTGAACTTTCGACAACATTTTAGAAAGCTTTTGGAACACTCTAGAACACTTTATAAACCTAATCATATGGAACTTTTGGAAACAATCTAGAACTAGAATCTTTCAGAATATCTTTAAAAGAATCGTCACATGGCAGTTTAGAACTAACTCTTAGAACTCTTAGAACACTCTAAAAAACTTCTGAACCTATTTAGAATTTCAACTAGAACCACCAAAAAGCGCTTAAGTATATTTGGGAGATTTCTGATAATTTCTAGAACAATCCGACACTTCAAGAGCATCAAGCGACCAACTGAAAACTTTAAAAAGCATTTTGAAAAGCTCCAGGACATGCGCCTGTGCCAATTTGGAACATTTTTAAGCATTTTGAAACGCTCTAGAGCACTTTAAAATGAATATAGAACTTGGATAAGCTTCAGAAGACAATTCAATTTTCATTCCTCCTACATTTGTTTCAGACAAGTTGGAACTTGCATCAATATTGTGTGCTACAGAACACTTTGGAATCAAATTAGAATTTCAGAAACATCCTAGAACAGACCAGAACACTTCCGAACTGAGACTGTCATAAGTGGTCCGATTTTCCGAGGGACTTCAAATTTGCAACAATTGACGTTTTCAATTAAAAGAGATAGACGATAAGTATGAAAACATTCGTTTTCCCGCCAACATTTGCTTGCTTGTCAATGTCAATGTGTATTGGGTGTTAAGCAATTCCCTCGTTTTTATTCGAATCGGTGACTTCACCAATGAGTTAGCTACCTTTGTTAAGTGAATGGAAAATGACAATAACCGACATAGAATGGTGGATCCATCGGTAACATTTGCGCAGGGTTTGAAATTGAGAAGAAAATGTGGGAAAAGTCACTGCTTCATTCGCAGAACGCTATGAAGACGGTAATGGATTATTTAGGAAGCAAACAGCTTCCGCAAACTAAACTTGAACGTGGATTACTTTGTATACTTGATGGGACGTGGATTTCCCTTTCTTTTGCGAGTATCCTTTCTTATTTTGTATATCCAAATTTTGACAAATGTAGAATTTGATGGAAACTTATGGAAAGACGCATCCGCCGGTGAATAGGAATTATTTTTATGAAAAAGCACACTACACAGAATCACCATTGTTAGAAATAAACCTTGAAAAAACCGAGGAAATATTAGTTATTTTTCAAAAGTCTTGTCTACAAACCACTGTCAAAGGCTGTCAACCATTGTTTTCATACTCTTTTGGCATCTGACAGTTTGATGCCAGAGAGAGAGAGGCTTTTAAATTGAAAAGGTCAATTAACATTTGAAGTTTCTTCTGTTCAACATTTGAAGTTTATGTTCCACTCAGAAGCTGAATAAGGATCTCAATTATTGCAATACATTGCAGCTATTCTGGATGTGGAAAATTTCGAGCCGGGAGTTGATATTTCACTCAGAATCATATTTTTATATCAAAATTTGAGAGGTCGTTTTCCCTGGACATTCTCAGAGAAAATGATTTCTAATGTCTGGCTGACATCCAGTAAAGATTTCTGAGTCTTTCACTGCAGTTTATGAATTAGCATCACTTCTGATAAGCTTTTTGTCTCAGAATAAGATAAGTTAGTTTCAGAGTATTTCATGCCTTTTTCATCCATTCTTAGATGCCACTCTAGATGTTTTTCGTTGACATCATTCTTCCTGTTCATAGGACCAATATCGTCCAATGTTTTCCAAATTTCATGCGGCTGTTTGAGGACTTTCTCTTCCAGAATATGCAATGACTGGTCGCTGGTCTACCAAGGTTTTAACTTCTTGTACTTCCTTTAGTTAGTTTTTAGAGCACCAATTTTTTTTCGGTTGTTTAGGGAAAGGTTTCTCATTTGTCCGCTTCTATTCCACCCACGAACTAGCATGCCCTTCTTTGTCTGTTTTGGAAAAACAGAATTTGCCAGACAAAATTGCCAAAAAATTCCCCAGGATTAATCAAAATAAACATTTATTATTGAGTCAGACATTCCGGTGTGTATATTATGGTCCAGTTCCAGAAGCTTTTTCATGTCGCACGCCCATGGCTCGCGGACATTATCATAGTTGTTTTGCCGTGTGAATATTAATTGCACCCGAGCTACGGCGACCGTCGACGTCGCACCACACCGCTGAAACCGACGCCATTTACACCTCACCCTTTGCCTTTCGTTCAAAACACACCCCGGAGTGCCAAGTTCTTTGATTAAATTAAAAGTTGGGACCCCACGGGGCCCCAGATTACTATTTACATGCAAATCTCATTTCGAGTTTTACCCAATTATCGTTTCGGATATGGAAACTGAACTGGTCAAGGGGTTTCACTTTTAACATGTGAATATTTCATGCATTGTGGAATAAATTTGCATTTCAACACAACATCTGTCATTGCCTATATTGAGTTATTTTTTTGGTATAGAGTACTCAGAAAATTAAGGAGATTTCACTTTAGGCCCTGACACATTGTGTAATACATCAAAATCCAGGCGGATCGCCGTCAGTGTTCAGCGCTCGCATCGGCAATAAATTCACGCCACAGGGCAGGAAGTAAAAACAAAAAACTCGGGGAGAAAGAGGAGCACAAAAGTATATCAAAACATGTCTGCCGTTTTTCGGTGGATGACGGTGTAAAAACATCGAGGGACTCTGGAATCGACATTGGCGTAGAGGATTTGACATGGTTTGTTCAAAAATGTACTCATTTACATATTCATAATTATTATGATTCATCTGAAAAGAACAGAGGTATAGGCCCCATCCCGCGCCAATGATTATCCAAAAACAAAAATACCTATACTCTTGTACCAACAACAAGAAAAAATAAATCCTGACATTGGCGTCGCAATGGCTGCCTTTAACGACTAACATGTGTGTGTGTGAGCGAGTGCGGAACCTTTTAGCTTGACAAATCGGTCTGTATCCAGAACGGAACAAAAAGCGAGTTGGTGCAATCACTTTCTCTACGCCCAAGTAAACATTCTTTTCCCTGAGAGATAAGAATAATTCTTCCGGGAGAGGATTTTTTTCCCTAAGATTACTTAGCTGTGGCTAATCTAGAAAAATATGATATCCCTTGGCAGAAACATCATGCTTTGTTTGATCATAACTTTTTGTTCATCTAACATCTTATAATTTCTATATTATCCTTACAAGACACATTGAATATTTTAATATCTAGGTATATAACAGTATGCATAAGTTGTTACTTCAGTTCCTTCCTATTTGTGTTCGACATGAGTCACAATGTTTTTTAACATAGATACATATTTTATTGGTCTTGTCGTACTAAGGTTACAAGCATATTCCTAAAACATTTTCTACGAAATAAAATCCTGCTTTTTTACCTTAACATTATGGTAACGATTTCATAGAATCAGACGATGGTGCCCATGACCACATCAACTTGAAATTCTTGTTTCGTTTTTGACCTTTGCTATCGACCGACATTTTTCAAGAACCAAATTCTCAGGGGTTTAAAATTAATTTTCCGAAACCAATTTTGCTCAACCCCTGCTTTGAAAATGTTTAAACCGAAAGTTATTCCAGAGTCCATTAGTCAGACGCCACTCCGGTATTTGAAGTCTCTTATAGTTTGGCAAAAGAATTTCTAATAGATCGTGAAAATGCCAATTAATCTCGATCAGAATTTTGACAAAAATTCATTGGTTTCGGAAACAAACGAGCATGGCTAACTAACGACAAGTGTTCCAGTCGCGGACACATCTGGTCATGAGGCGTAAAACCTAATTATGAGGTTCCATTTTACATCATGTGTCGCTCATTTTAATCACCAGAGTTTTCTTTGGTTTTTGCACCAGTCAGTTTTTGGTCACCGATAAGTTTGGTATGGTTGAGATTTTTTCCAATCATGTCAGGTACCTACATACTCCGTTTTATTGTGCGGCATTTTTAAATTGCCTCTATTAAGCCTAATAATCTAGTAACCATGAGCATCAATTGCAAAATATTTACATATACATTTCACCATTACACCGAGTGTCTTTTTAATTAAAACTACACTACTTTGCATAATTGTAGATAAAAATAAACATGATCCGTACTAATCTTTTAATTTTCTTTGTTCCAGGGACTCATGAGAATAGTTTTTTGTATTGGATAAGGACGCAACTTTCTACAATCACCAAAGGATACAAAAATTTTATAATAGTGAGTGCGCATTTATAGTGTTTGAGTGTTAAAAAATTAAAAATGCATTAAAAGTGTCATCTGATGTGATATAAGTGCACCCCCGGTGGTGACAGATAATCGTTCGGAAAAATCTGTGATCAAACTCGAAATCAGTAGCATGAGTTCGTATTTCGCCAATTACATGCCGGACATGCGAAATGGAGGTGTCGTTTCAGCCGAACACCAACAGCACCATTATGGACAAGTACCTCAAGGTGGCGGGGCTGTACAAACGGACCCTACAGCTTGCGCTGGAGATCCCTCTGTTGTCGGTTTACGACAAGGGATACCTCCGCACCATTATGGAGGGCCTCCGACTGCCGGACAACCTCCACAAGGTATGCCTTATCCACGATTTCCACCCTATGATAGAATGGACATTCGAAATGCAGGGTATTATAATGCGCAACAGATGGATGGTAGTCAAGGTAATTTTATTCTTTTAATTAAAAAATGATTCTTCCACTATACATCTATAAATTATGCATCGGTTTCTGTTTAATTTATTAACTCGTTAATCTTTGTTATTATTTCTCGTTTAATATTGCATAATTTATCTTTAGCAGATGTATGGTCATTATCTTGAATTAATTAACTTTTTTTTTTTATCAATATTGTTGATTCATTAATAGAATAATATTCTCAAGAGTCAATTTTTAAATTTTCGAAATGATATGTTGTTATGCAAAAGCTTTTAATAAATCATTTTTTTGCATGACAAGTATCACATATCTGACCCATTTGCAAAGGAATCCATTAATGTATACTTGACAATAATAATAAATATATTTCAAATAATTTTTTTCCTTCTGTCCAACACTAGACTGTGTCCCAGGTTACCGACCGGATAGTCCGGGCAATATGGGCCACATGGGTACCGCTGCGGCACCAAACGGACACCAAACTCCAGTCGTCTACGCCAGTTGTAAGCTCCAAGCGGCAGCGGTGACGCAAAACGGGGTCTTGGGCCCCACAGGAAGTCCGCCGCTAGATACCTCGCAGAACCTCCATATGGGCCACCATATGCAGGAGCAGCATCCGCAGCACCATCAGCAACACCATCAGCAGCAGCACATGATGTACGGGGCGCAGCAGAATCCCAATATGCATCAGGCTGCGCCCCATCAGCAACCTCCTTTGCAAGGGCAGCCGCAAGGACAGCAACCGCCTAATAATACGGCGTCGTCGTTGCCTAGTCCTTTGTATCCTTGGATGAGGAGTCAATTTGGTAAGTTGCAAGTTCTGGAATTATGCAAAAAGCAACTTGGTAATGTTGATTCTGTAGCAATTATCAAAATACATCACAATTTTGGTCCAGGTTAGGATTATCCTTGAACTGATTCCGTAATAATTCACTTGACGTTCAACAATAGTACGTTGAAAACTACAGCCTTTGAACTGAATTTTGAATCCGGAATTTCTATTATCCACTGATGGATAATAGGAGAGAACTTGTTTTCCCTATTCTGGGTTTTCCCAACTAACTGATTTTTGGTCAGCCTATTAGATGGTCATTACTAAATACAGCAAAAGTGCTGTTTAGTGTTGAATCCTAGTCTTAGATGGCGCCACCATCAAATTTCGCTCGTCATACTATAAATATATATTATTCTATGATCAGATATCATATGATCTTCGACTTCAACATTGCAAATCAACTTGTTGTTTGTAATTATGTGATCTAGGATGGATGATCTTGTTTTTCCTATTCTGGTTGCCATATTCAGGGTTTTGGATCTCATAAGCATTCGCTTCAATGATGTTTTTATATTCGTGCACAGCTGCAGAATCTCCTAGTGAATTTTTGTCCTTGTTTTCGAAGTTTCTAACCTCACTTTCTTCACTTGTTCGACAACAAAAAAAATCACTTTGTTTTCCCTATTCACCACTTTTGCTTGGTTTGCACAGCTCGGATGAGAGTGGCATGTTATGCAATCTACAGATGCACTAACTGTTTTTTTGCAGTGTTTAACAATTTTAACAATTTTTTTCGGAGCCAATCCCACTTTTTGTTTTCGACGTCATAACTTCAATATCCTATACCTATGTGCATTCAGTGGGTTTATCGAATATCCCCATTCCCCAACCTGTGCTAAAGCTTCCTCAAGTAACAGTGTCCTGTCAATAGCACAAGCGATTAAATTCTGGTAGTACAGGCAATTCGGTATCGGCCAGTCACAGCCTAGTCGTATCCCTACGGTGACCGGGATAAGAGAGTAGGTATGTATCTGTTCTTGTTCTTAAAAACTTCTTTAGATTTGGAAATTGAAATAGTCTCTTCCGCTTCGTCTAGAACTTTCAATTCAGCCCTAATTGATATTCTAGAATCATCTTTAACGGTTTGAAGGTGCTGTTTAAACTTAATCATCTGGGTAATATGATTCCATTAAGGGCACACATCTTATGGAAATTGGATTTTTGTCAAATGTGCTGAATTTCTGATATTTTGTAGAAGTCATGGTCCTTATCAAAAGCTACCATTGCGTAAAATTCGAAACATAGATAGTTTTTGAGAAAGTCCATGTTAAAGTTAAAGAAATGCCTATCATTCATAAACCGATTAGCGATGTTTCGGAACGCGATGTTCAGGTGAATCGCTGGAGTTTCCAATTGCACTGGGGCGAGTTCAGGAATGACACACCAGTGTGAGTGTTACACTAACCGTGCGTTCGGTATTTTGGTCCGAGTTCTCCGAGCTTGAATTTACTGTTCGTTTATTCAAAAAATGTACTCGGTGCAGGCGCATTTGCGTTCGTTTATTAAAATTTCGGTCACTTGTATACAGAGTTTAACTGCTCTCTCCGTTCGCTGGTCACGTGACTATGACTCCGCTCAGCATGCTCTACTCTTTGAGCAAAATACCGAACGCAAGGCCAATGACATCACATTACATTTCACTTTAGTGAAATGTCTTCTTCTTCTTCTTCTTCTTCTTCTTCTTCTTCTTCTTCTTCTTCTTCTTCTTCTTCTTCTTCTTTAATTTTGGCTTCTGCTCCCTGAAGGGCAATTTGCCAGCACATTTGTGTGTGACCAGAGATCGTCTGGCTTTAGGCCATACTCCAGGCACAATTTAAACTTCTTGATTTTTAAGACAAGATATATAACTGTAATGTATATAATTTCACTGTGAACCGAGTTCTTTACCACTTCTTCTTTCTTCTTTCTTCAGTGGTGAGTAGGTTAATAGTAAAATGTCATTGGTTACACCGGTGCGACGCTCTAGCCGTTCATACCTTGCGTTCGGTATTTTGCTCAAAGAGCAGATCGTGCTGAAGCGGAACCATAATCGCGTGACCAGCGAGCGCACAGAGCAGTTGAATCTCCGAGTAACACTGCAAATATTAGATCTGTTTCTGCAGAAATCACAAACCAGTTAGAGTGAATTTCATTGGTTGAAACTAGTTTTCTGACTGTTTTCAACCAATGAAATTCGCTCTCGATTTCCAATTTCATTTTCCCTGCAGCTTAGCACAATTTATAAATATGGTAGATCTGCAGTAAGTGTCCGCAAGTGACCTTAGAATGGGATTCAATGTTTGGGGCATCTTTTAATCATAATGAATCTATCTATTTTATGTGTTAATCTGAGAGTTGAACGATGTATCAGAGCGCTAAAAATTTTAATAAACGCGCGTGCGCGAGCCTGCACCGAGTACACTTTTTAAATAAATGAACGGTAATTTTAGGCTCGGAAAACTCAGATCAAAATACCGAACGCATGGTTTATATTAGGTCTATTCCAACCGACAACCGTTCTAGAACGGTAATTTCCAGTCGATCAATTCATTTGTCAATTAGGATAAACGTTCAACTTATTGAAAGATGGGTGGGCAACTGGAAATTACTGGTTCTGGAACGGTTCTCATGTCGGTTGGAACAGAGCTATTACATTAAGAATACAAAAATAATAGTTAGTGTGTAAATAATGGAGCAATAAAAGCAAATAAAGTTCTCCAAACTACGAATCGGAACGGCTAGAGCGTCGCACTGGTGTAAAACTCACACGGAGTGTGTCATTCCTGAACTCATCCCAGTGAAATCAGAGATTCGTTCTACTCACTTGAACATCGCGTTATGAAGCGGACCATGACTTCTACAAAAATTCAGCACATTTGACATGAGCTGCTTTCTGGTGCCATCCTTTGAGCGCTCCCGAGTTACTCCGAAGTGCTCCGGCTACAGTTTGACCCGTTCGGTTTCAAGCGTTCGAGTGCAACACGCATGGAGTATGACAGGTCACTGACAGGTGTGAAGTGTTCTAGGAGCATCCGAAAGCGGCTATGAATTCAATTTCCATAAGACTTGTGCGGGGTCTTTTAACTCACTAATCTCTTTGTTCAAGTCCAATGATATTTGGGTAAACTCTTACTCTGGGCTAACTACCTAATTTAGTAGAAAGATGTTTATCCAAGCTTTTCTGGGTTCCAAATAAATTTGGCCCACAGCGTAGAGAAAGTCATTATATACCTTACGCATTATAAACCTCGGCGCTTCGCGCCTCGCTTGATAAAAGCACTCGGTATATAATGACCGCAACTTCTCTACCTAGATATATAATAATTTTTTTTATTAACCAATCTTATGTTGAAGTAGCCATTATAGAATATATTAGGCGTTCCATAACAGGGTTTGTTGGGAATTCAAGTTTACGCTCTATTTTTCGCAAGCGAAACATGCTAAAAAGTCGACGTCGTCAAAGGGATTTGACCACATCCTTACGTGGTACATGTTCTGGAAATTCTAGAGCAACTCGATCATCATCACTGAAATCTATTAGTTCAATGTTATAGGATCCAGGGCAGCCTTGTTATTTAGCAGATATAATCCTCAAATATCACGTAAGGTAATAGTAGTTGTAAATATTAATTATTTATTATTAGATAATTGTGCTATCCAAGTATATCACAATGAGTCTCCATCTCTTCACAATATCAAAATTCAACCAAAACCACCACTGAAAAAAAAAATTTAGAGAAAATTTTGAGGTTAACCCAGGGTCAATGTGCTTACTTTCCATGAGAGCGCAGGTTAACTTTTTCCTGGAATAACTTCCGAGTTAGCAGTTGACCCTGGATTGATAAACACTGGTTACAACTTTGACCAAAAGTTATCCGTAACTCATCGAGTAACCCTCTATTGACAAACAGGCCCTAATAGGTTATTTCTTCTGCAAGTTCTGTCGAGCTGATGTCCATAATTGATGAAAAATTTTCTTGTCTCGACTCGGATTTGAACCCAGTTCCTTCGCATATCCAGTGCAACGCTCTACCAACTGAGCTACCATGACCTGTTTCATTTCTACCTTGTCAGTCAAGTCTTTCATCAATTTTAAGTTGGTAGTTTTGGAGATTAACTGCAACCTTCAGCGGTTATCGTTGGTACTCTTGGTTGGGCGTCATATCCCGATAACTGCTGAAGTCGTTATATGTCGACGACGCATCCGTGGTTGAAAGGATAATGGATTCCAAACAACCATTAATTGCGAATGTGTTCCCCTATACCCTCTAGCTCACTCCCATACCAACGGTAACCGTCGAAGGTTGCAGTTGGTCTTCGCAACTAACAACTTAAAATTGATGAAAGACTTGACCGACAAGGTAGAAATCAAACAGGTCATGGTAGCTGTTTGTAGAGCGTTGCACTGGATTATGTTTAATGCCCAGGAATCTAAAAAGTGCAAAAGAGGATATGACAAATCAAATTGATGAATCATATAGAAAATATTAAATTGCCTGGGCATTATGAATAATGCGGGAAGTCGAGTGGACAATTTGTTTGAATGAAATTACGAACTAACCCAAACTAACCAGGTTATTATCGGTAAGTTTCATAATGACTGATTAAAATTGCGGACACCGACTGTACTTTAACTGATCGGAGTACATTACCAAACTTATAGATAAGATTAGTTTGCAATTTTAATCAGACATTAGGTATCAAACTTACCCATAGTAACCCGATTGTTCGGCAACTAATAAAAGTTTAACCAAAGGCGATTAAGCTTTAAAACGGTAGTGCATTTGGACGTAAGCCCTTCAAAATACAAAAATATTAGATCAGATTGCCCACTCGACACATTTAGAGGGATATGTGAGGCTGTACCAGAATTTATATATATAGCCCTATCACTTATGTCATCTGTATGCGCATAAGTTGTAGCACGTCAGTTGTTAGTTGCGTGATTTTATCCAGGTGTTGCATTCCAACGGGTCAAATTATCCACCATAT